CTGGCGGCTCGCCAGGGGGGCCCGTGGGCCAGGGGCCCGGAAAAAAACATCCGTTCGTAGAAGCAGGAGGATACCCACTGCAGGATGCAGTTGTGCATTCGGTAGCAGCGGCCCAGCAAGACGTCGTGGCGGTCGCCTTCGCCCAGGGAGTCGTGGAACCTTGCGGGGACTGAGATCCCCAAGCCAAGCGCCGCTGCTCGAGGGTGCACCACCGTGGGGCATAGCTGGGTTTCGTCCACGCAGATGACAAGCCGCCCACCGCTGTGGGATGCGATATCGGTGGGGATGGCGGCGAAGGGCTCGGTGGACTGGCCGGCCTCGTCCAGGGTGCCGAATTGGATCTTCGGGCATCGGGGCTTGCGAGGTCAGGCGCGAGCCCACGGGTGGCCAGTGCCAGGCGTGCGTTCTGGAGGACTTTCTTCTTCGCGCTAGTGATGACCTTCTGGCTTACATTTCCCAAGGGGAGGTGTTGGCCTCCGTGCGGTGCTCAACTGGGGTGAGGGCGCGGGCCTCGGGGGTGGTGACCTTGTCAGGGCTGGCGAGCCGAACGGCCGCCTGCGGGAAACCGCAATCCCGATGTAGCTCGCCTGCCTTGTGAGCGTCAGCGAGGTACCCGGCTGGCATATCAGCGCCTCTGCTGGAGCCAGAAAAGAGGCATGCTGCCCACCTGTCAGGGGCGCAGATGAGCCAGAGGTCGATCAGCGCGGCGACGGCCTTGGTTTTGCCAGTGCCCGAGGGCCGTGGACGCGGAGCACCATAGCGTCCACGGGCTGGTGTAAGACCCTTGCCTGGGCTGGGTTAAGTTCGCGCCGCTTCGCAGCGTCCTCGGCTAGGTTGGGCGGCGGGGAGGGTACCCAGAGATCCAATGCCGTGATTTGTTCAAGACGGGGTCCCCGGAAGTCCCGACCCTTTCCCCGGGACCTGTTTTTCGCCCTGAGTCTTTTTCCCAACCATCCTGTGGTGTTGGGTCCTCGTTTTGAAGAGACAGCGCCCCGCGTCCACTCCTCCTCCCGCTGCCCCTCCCCCTCCTCCTTGCGTTTCACCCACCCAGCACAGCGTTTCGTAGCCCCATAGGGAGCTCCACCGAAGGCCCCAGTGGCAGGGTTCGCATGGCGGCCTCGGGCCATCTCGGCACACCCCTCACGAGGATCGTGGCCCCATAGGGAGCTCCACCCAAGGCTCCAGTGGCAGGGTTCGCATGGCGGCCTCGGGCCATTTCGGCACACCCCTCACGAGGATCGTGGCCCCATAGGGAGCTCCACCGAAGGCGCCAGTGGCAGGGTTCGCATGGCGGCCTCGGGCCATTTCGGCACACCCCTCACGACGATCGTAGACCCATAAGGGAGCTCCACCGAAGGCGCCACTCGCAGGGTTCGCATGGCGGCCTCGGGCCATTTCGGCACACCCCTCACGAGGATCGTGGCCCCATAGGGAGCTCCACCGAAGGCGCCAGTGAGAGGGTTTGCATGGCGGCCTCGGGCCATTTCGGCACACCCCTCACGACGATCGTGGACCCATAAAGGGAGCTCCACCGAAGGCGCCAGTGGCAGGGTTCGCATGGCGGCCTCGGGTCATTTCGGCACACCCCTCACGAGGATCGTGGCCCCATAGGGAGCTCCACCGAAGGCCCTAGTGGCAGGGTTCGCATGGCGGCCTCGGGCCATTTCGGCACACCCCTCACGAGGATCGTGGCCCCATAGGGAGCTCCACCGACTGCCCCCAGTGGCAGGGTTCGCATGGCGGCCTCGGGCCATTTCGGCACACCCCTCACGAGGATCGTGGCCCCATAGGGAGCTCCACCGAAGGCCCAGTGGCAGGGTTCGCATGGCGGCCTCGGGCCATTTCGGCACACCCCTCACGAGGATCGTGGCCCCATAGGGAGCTCCACCGAAGGCTCCAGTGGCAGGGTTCGCATGGCGGCCTCGGGCCATTTCGGCACACCCCTCACGAGGATCGTGGCCCCATAGGGAGCTCCACCGAAGGCGCCAGTGGCAGGGTTCGCATGGCGGCCTCGGGCCATTTCGGCACACCCCTCACGACGATCGTAGACCCATAAGGGAGCTCCACCGAAGGCGCCAGTGGCAGGGTTCGCATGGCGGCCTCGGGCCATTTCGGCACACCCCTCACGAGGATCGTGGCCCCATAGGGAGCTCCACCGAAGGCGCCAGTGGCAGGGTTCGCATGGCGGCCTCGGGCCATTTCGGCACACCCCTCACGAGGATCGTGGCCCCATAGGGAGCTCCACCGAAGGCCCCAGTGGCAGGGTTCGCATGGCGGCCTCGGGCCATTTCGGCACACCCCTCACGAGGACCGTGGCCCCACTGGAGCTCCACCGAAGGCGCCAGTGGCAGGGTTCGCATGGCGGCCCCGGGCCATTTCGGCACACCCCTCACGAGGATCGTGGCCCCATAGTTGTGCTGCTTCAACAACCGCGCCTGGGCGTCGTACTCCGCCTTGTCGACGTGCAACGCCACCTCCTCCCTCATGGCTCTCAAGGCCCTTTCCTGCTTCTGCTCCTCGGTGAGAGGGACGCCGTCCTTGTCGTCGTCGGCGCCCGCGAAGACGGCCACGAACGCGTCCCTGAGCATGTCGGGCTCCGGCGGGAAGCCGTGGCCACATAGGGAGCGCGGGCGAAGATGGTATTCACAATTGCGGTATTCACAATTGCATATGGTTGGGTCTTTCGCCCGGATAATTTGATGGTCCCGAAGCTGGCCCAGCGAGGGCCCCGAGAGGCCAAAAACTGTGAAAAACTTCCGTCTTGATTTTTTCAATGCGTTGGATCTCTGGGTAGGGGGCGCTGGAAAACGCTCCTGATCCATTCCTGGACCTCGCGGTCGGAGAGGGGGCGGGCGGCCTGCGGAATGAGGCGGCCGTCGGGGCCAGCAACGCTGCACTGCAGGGCGGCTGCTGCTCGCGCTGGCAGGCAGCTCCCCGCCTCGATCAGCTGCGCGGTTGAGTTGCTGCTGTCCTTGTCTGATGCAGGGGCGGACCGACAGGCCATGACGTGCGGTGCGACGTGTTTCGGGAAACCCCTCGTCTCGTCTGGGCTGGTCTCGGGCATGAACATCCGCCGTGCTCCTGTCCATGCCCTCCAGGCTTGGGTCTGATCTGGGGACTTCTCGACGCAGTGCCAGCCTTCGCGGGGGGAAGGGCGCTCGCGGGGGGAATCGGCGGGGTGCATGGAGCGTCCCTGCCGGGCGACCACGGCAGCGATGAGGCAGACTGTGGGGCACCTGGCGGTGGCTGGGTCATCTGCGCGGGCTCCCGGGGAGGGGGGCAGATGGCTCGCGCATCGCATGGGCGCCCCGTGAAGGGGGAGCGGCGCGAAACAAGGAATGCGAGGACGCGCAAGTCGTCTTTGGTCCAGTCGATGTGCCAATGCCCTTCCAAGGAGAAAACGTGGTTATCCCATTCGCCGTTTGTCTTGTCGCTGAAGCGTCTCTGCAGATTCCATTCCTGCGCGAGCCTATGCGGCGTTGCGGGGTCGTACTTCTCGATGGCGACGTCGAGAGCACATGTCCTCTTCCTGCTGAGCTTGTTGCAGATGCGTGTCGTACCGTCGCCCTCTGGCTCCAGTCCAGCCATGAGCTCCACCTTGTAGACTTTGTAGAGTTTCCATCCTCTGTCGTGGAAACCAATTGCCAGCGTGGGGATAGCGTGGCCATGCCCGGTACGGGACCCACGGGGCGCTGAAGGAGCTGCGAGGGGGGGAGCCAGGGATGGGCCCACATGGCTTGCACGGCGCGCGCGGCACGCGTTACTGGTGGGTCCAGCGAATCGTCGGCTGGTGGGGGGGGGCCCAGGGCCCTGTGCACCGTGGTCGGGCGGCGGGGTATGGCGCGGGGTCGGGGGGTCGTTGTCGGGGGGGTGGATGGGCACCGCGCACGGGCGGGGGGAGGGGCGTGAGGACCGGGTACAGTGGCGAGCGCACCGTGGCGGCCTTGGGCTGTCTCGGACGGCGGGGGGGCTGGAAGCGACAGGTACTGCACCGCCCCACGCGTCCGCTCTTGAGAAGCCGGGTCCCTGGATAAATCCGAGCCTGTGCCTCCGAATAAAACCGAGCGGACCGCATCACCTGAGTGCCGAGGTCGGGGGCAGGGAACCATCCGCTGGGTGCGCCCATTGGTGGGTAGCAGATGGGGACCGCGTCCCAATCGCCGCCGACGTATTCCCACAGCACCCCAGCTCTTCCGTCGAGGTCGCAGCTGGGATCGACCAGCCAGCCCGGGTACTTCTGGACGGGGGCATCACGGGGGGAGTGCCCCGCTAGCCCTCCGGCGGCCCTCTCTCGCGCACGCACACACACACACCGACACGTTCAAACACACACACACACACACACACACACACGCACACACACACACACACATGAACACACAACAATACAGTCTCGACGCCAGATGTCCAGGCCCCCCCGCCGCACCCGCGCGCGCTGCAAGCTGGAGGACAAATCATGCCTGGGAGAGCCCAGACGTCCCCCCGGGGCGACGTGCCCCCAGTGGGGCGTCCCAGGGGCCACGATTCTGTCGGGGGTGTCCAGGAGGGGGGCGCCCACGAGGGGCAATTATGGCCCGAGGCACGAGCGCGGCCCGAGGCGGGGAGGGGCCAACGCACGTGTGGAAAGAAGAGGTGCCCATCTCGCCCCCAAAATCACCACGCCGCCCCCGATCTTTGCCGCGGCATCCGCAAGAACCTGGCCACCGGGGCGCCCAGGGCGGGCCCCCAGGACGCGTCTACAGGGCACGTCTGCTCTGGGGCGCGCCTGGCCTCGCCTGAAGCAGCACCTGCCCCAGACCCCCTCGAGTAATGAAAAAATCATGACGGAAGGTTTTTCCTACTCCTCGGCCTCTGGGGGCCCTCACCGGGCCTCGGGAGCGTCAAAAAACGACTCAGGATGCAAAGCCGGTCATGGGGAAAGGGTCGGGACCTCTGGGGGTCGACGTAATGAAAAAATCATTACGTCGGGGGTCTGGGGCCGCGACGCGACGGCGCCGAGCCTGCTTGGAGACGACGGCCCCGGGCGGGTACCCGTGCGAGAGCGGCCGGTCCAAAACCAGGGAGCCGAAGCCGACGATGGTCCTTGCCGCGGCCCTCCTCCCCGCCAGCATCATACCCGGCGGTGCGCAGGAGGTGCTGGGGCCTCGAGGCGTGGAGGATCGAGGGAGGGCTTTCGGTGGGGCCGCGTCGGAGAGTTTCACCAGAGTGGGCAGCAGGCGCGTTTGCCCGACATGCTTGCGCTGGGTGGGGGGCCTTCCCTTTTTGCCAGTCGCTGCCGCTGTGTCGCGGCGTCTCCGTATGTCCTCGGTCGTGCTTGCCTTGCTCTCGGGGTCCCACGTGACCGGGTCTCACATCATAATTCATTATGCTTCCACACGGGAAGGTCCCAGGCGATATGGGCCCACAGTGCCCGCCACCGTGTCGCAGGCACAGAGTGGAATGTCTTCACGACCCGTCAGATTTTCTGCGTTGAATACCGTAGGTGCTGTTTTGAGGAGCCTGGAACCTAGAGTCACGGGCCCTGGTCTTAAATTTCCCATGAGCTACCCCGCACGAGCAAACTCAAGTGATACCGCAAGCAACAGAGAGGGAGGGGGTAGGGGACCTCCCCGCGCCTCGGCGGCGTTTCGGAAGGCATGCTTCCACCACGGCCTCAAACGGTCCCAGGGCCCGTCCCGAGGACCTCTTGAACGCCTCTTCGGCCGCCTTCGAGGCCATGGGGGACGGTCCGACAGCCCTCCCAGAAGCTTGGAGCAGCGAAGAGAGGGGGGCCGAACACGCCCAGCGCGTACGATGAGATCTGCTTACTGGCAGGCCTGAAGACACTTCCTCTTCTTTCTCCTTCTCCTCCTCCTCCTCCTCCTCCTCCTCCTCCTCCTTCTCCTCCTCCTCACTCTCGCTCGCTCTCTCTCTCTCTCTCTCTTTCTCTCTCGTCTCCCGATGTGCATGCTCTGCTGGGGCCCCGAAGCGGTGCGGCGACAGACCGTGCGGTGACCCCGAAATGCCCCAACACCTCACCGAGCGGTCTGTCGCCGCAAGGCTTTGAGACTTCGGAGCCCCAATCGCTCGAGGCATCCTCGGAGAACGACCCAGGCTCCACAACCGTGCGGCCACCCCGATCCCCCGCCGACTCGCCACACGGTGTGGCCACCGAACCGTTTGGAGGCCCCCGATCCCTACCGTGCACCAGGACTTCCGTAGGCCCCCCCGGCCTTTGGGAGATGGGAGTTGCCGCGTGGAGCACCTCCCAGGTGAGGCATTACCGCCGATCTGGGAGGACTGCTTGAGGACAGCAGACATACTCCTGGAGCAAGGCCCGGCCCAGAGATGTACGGTTACGTATGCGACCTTCTCCAGGGGCGCGGTCGCTCACGCCGACGCGAATGCTTTTCTGCACGCAGTCATCGCACTCTCATCCGAGCAACGCGCACTGAACAGGTCGTAGAAAACAATTCTAGGGTGCAGCCCGAGACTCAAGATACCAAATGAACGGTGATGAATTGCCTCGGCGCCTTGGCAGAAAACATTGGCCATGGGCAGAAGCTTTGTTCGGGCTGGCAGTAGTTTCAACATTCGGGGCCAGACGCTCAGGCTTCGAGCTCGAGCTCCGTAAAGGTAGCGCTGGCACTGCGGGAGCGCAGGTGGAGCAGGGAGGAGAGACGACAGAGCAGAGAGGAGGGAGGAGCAGCATTGTCAATGAAGGCCAATCCGCCATCAGGCCCTCAAAAAGCTGGGGCGCGTTCCGAATCTCTTCACTGTCCACTAGGTTTCTGTTTGGGGAGGGGGGCGCCCACTACCTCGAATACCGTCGCTAGATTCACCAGCCTCGGACGTGCCCCTATCCCCGTAGGGGTGTGCCCTCGGAAGCGGAAGGAATCCCGAATGTCGGCATCGAGAGAAGGCGATGCCAAGCATAGGGGTGGGGATATGCTTCAGGCTGGTAATTCACTTCTAGACAAGATCGCCCGCCTGCGTTCGGCTCCTCCCAGCACCCCCCGCGAGCACAAGGCGGATCCAAGACGGCCCAAGACGGACCCGAGACGTCCGCACATTGCCCCAGCACTGGCCCAAGATTTTCCAGAGATCCCCCAGGGGCCCCAAGAAGTCCCCAGGCCGGCCGTGCCGGGCCTCAGCAGTCCCCGAGGGGACACCCCGAGGAGCCCTCGTCAAAAACATCGATGGACCGCATGCGCTTCCGAATGACTGCCAAGCTGCTACCATAAGGAGACCTGCACACTTGGGTCACCAGTTCGCCCAGGGGGCACCTCGCGAGGATGATGCGACTGTTCCCCCCGACGACCTGCCTTGCGGGCGGCCGGCGAGCGGGCGCCGCACGGGCGAGCCGCCTCGCGAGTGCCCGCCGAGCTGGCGACGCACTCGCCAAGCAAGCCCCGTTGCCGGGGCGACGCGGCCCTTCTCCTCCGCCTCCTCCTCCGCCTCCGCCTCCGCCTCCGCCTCCGCCTCCTCCTCCTCCTCCTCCTCCTCCTCCTCCTCCTCCTCCTCCTCCTCCTCCTCCTCCGTCCTCCTCCTCCGTCCTCCTCCTCCGTCCTCCTCCTCCGTCCTCCTCCGTCCTGGACGCCCGGCCTCCTCGGCGGCCGACGCCCGGGCCCCGCGACGCGCCACGCGCCGTGGCTGGCCTCCGCGCCCTCGGCGGCGCAGGGCACACCGGGGGGGGCGACAGGGCACAGGGAGCAAGAGCTCCCGCCTGGCCCCAGGGGGCGACAGGGCACAGGGAGCAAGAGCTCCCGCCTGGCACAGGGAGCAAGAGCACAGGGCGACAGGGCACACCGCGGGGGCGGCAGGGCACAGGGAGCAAAAGAGCTCCCGCCTGGCCCCAGAGGCGCCGGAGCGCACGGGGGCCGCCTGCGGGAGCAGTCGTGGAAGGGCCGAGGCGCGATTCGCTTCTCGCGCCACCGGGGGCGACATGGCACCAGGAACTACGGAGCGGAGCTCCTGCCTGGCCGCTTGGAGGAACAATCGTGGAGGGGCCTCTGAGGAGCAGTGAGCCCCTTTCGGACCTCGAAGTGCCACAGACTTCAGCGTCCTCGCTGCAATATTACACAGCGGCCCGCAGTTGCAGATCTGAGTGAGGGGGCTGGGCGCGGGGTGGGTCGCGGGTGGGTCGCGGGCGGGTCGCGGGGTGGGTCGCGGGGTAGGTTGCGGGGTGTCGCGGGTGTGTCGCGGGTGGGTCGCGGGAAGGTCGCGGATGGGTCGCGGGTCGGGTCTTGGGCGAGGACGACGACAAGCAACGCAGTGCAATGCAACGCAACGCAACAATAATCCGCACCGCGGAGCCCCAGTTCAGCCACGCACCCAGGAACAGTGAGAGACCGTTCGGCCCCCTCACTCTGACCTTGTGGAGGCCAAGGACGCCCCGAAGACGGCCTCACAAGGCTCCAAGAGGCCCACTGGACGGCCGCGAGACGGCCCCGAGGCAGCTCCCTGACGGCCCGAGAGCCTTCCGAGACGGCCCAAGATGAAGAAGTTCCCAAGAAGACCCGAACACTAGGCAGAAGGTACTTGCTTACAGCCGACGAAACATGATGAGTCAAATTATGGTGTCAGATGCTCTATGTCAGATACCCAAGAAGTTTCCTAAAACGAGCCCGGGCCAATCTCTGTTGTTCACGCTGGACGGGCGAACGTGCCCAAGAAACTGGGCCAGCTGTCCGGCAAGTTGGCTGGGAAACGCTGGCCCAGCTCTGCGGGAGGATGCTTCCGAACCGGGTGCCCGGCTGTGGGCGCCACCGCGATTCCAGGTTGAGGTCAGGAATCGCTAGTGGTGTATGATGTGCATGCCTAGGGGGCAAACAATCCTACCCCGCTTTTGACCACCCTCGCTTCCAAGAGATACCAAGCGATGCCAAACTATGTACTGGTCAGACCGCCTGCCGAGGAGGCGTGTGGTATGACTTGGTTTTGCCTGGAAGCGAAAGCGGGGTAGGTAATTCACGCTCTGAATGCCTTCCTTCTGTGGACAAGATAACACACAGACCCGACCAGGCGTTCCTGGAACGGGTCCGCTGAGCCACGTCGGGAACATTCGGCGGAACCGTCGCGCCCAGAAAACGGCCCCACGATGCTCTGCAGAACCTCGAGAAGCCAACCATGAGGGCCCAAGAGGCTCCGAGGAAGGCCCTGATAGGTTCCATGAGGAAACGAGCGAATCATGCAAGGCTACGGCCAACGGCCCCTACAACGTCGTGGCGCTGCTGTTCAGATGGCCCCAGGATTGACCTACCGAGCCTTGTCGTGAGAGTTCAGGACAATATTGCTGGATGCATTTTAAGGCGGCGCTTGGACTGTTGTCTGGCTTGCCGAGAGCTCCTGGGAAACGCGCTGCGCTGACACAGCGGGCACACAGCGGGGGTGCGTTCGAGATACCGTTTGCACCTGCCAGAACAAGAACAAGATTTGCTCTCAAAGACTTGTTTCGCCAGTATGCGAGCGCCCTTATCAGGGCCTGCGTGCGAAAGCCTTCCACTAGCTTCCCAATTTCACCCCTACACCCCCTTTACACATGATCCCACGTCGCCTTACTAAACAGGACTCGGCAGAGATGAATTGACGAAGTGAGTGCTATCGATCGGCGCTGAAACGACAGCTCTGCCTGTCGCGGCCGCGATGGGTCTCCACAAGAGCAGCCGCGCCGCGTCGCAGCGACAAGAGCCAAAGCGCTGCGAAGAGCGACAGAGCAAGGAGAGCTGGAAGACTCCTGCCAGCGTGGAGTTGAGAGAGCAAGGACGACCCGTCTGTCAGACAGGAGCGACGGAAATCACCACCACCACCGCCATCGCAAGAAGCCAGGAAGGGTCCTCCTGGAGGTGTGGTCTCAATGTTTTGCGGCGTCCCACTCGAGACATCTCCAATGTGCAGTTCAGGGAGGCCTCGCGGACCAGCCCGCTGGTGGTGGTGATGTCGGTTCTCTCTCCCCCAAGCCAGAAAGGCCGAACCGTGTACACAGTGCTAATTGTGTGAGACGGCAGCCTCCGGTGAAATGGTGCTCCAGTCAGCGCCTCGGGGCACTTCCGAGACATCGTATGCTGAAGGCCGCTCATCGATCTTAAGCTCCTCGACAGCTTCTTCGAGCGGGTGTCGCACGTCGTCGATTGACCTGGGTCGCATGCCAGGGCTCACGTGGAGGCAGGCGTGCACTGCGTCGCGGGCCCGACCTGTCAAGAAAGACCGTGCAGAGCTCGGCCAGGCCAGCGTCGCTCTGGAATCCTGCAGCACTTCGCTATCACAGGACATACCCTTCATTGGTGGTACACCGTGCTCCATGAAGTAAGCCAGTGAACCAAAGGCGAATATGTCCAGCTGATGTGTGGGCTGCACGCGCGAATCCATGATTTGCTCTGGAGGGATCCACTCCCTGGTGCCACCGACGGATGACGCATTGGTCCACGCATTCGGGGTAATCAGCCGGGAAAGGCCGAAATCTATGAGTTTGACTCTCGGCTTCCAGAAGACCTGAACGATCATCAAATTGCTCGGTTTCAGATCCCCGTGAATAATGGGTGGATCCTGGGCGTGCAGGTACTGCAGGGCGCGGCTGAGATCCACGCAGACCCAGACGCAGTTTGTTTTTGAAAGCCTGCTGACACACGCGTTGAGCTCCACCCCGTCCACGTACTCAAGCACGAGGCCGAAGGAGGTGTTGCGGTCGAAGAATACGGCACCATGGAACAGCACGATGTTCGGATGTCGCAGGCGACGGAGCAGGCGAATCTCGTTTGCCAGCGCCTGGAGATGGGAAGCCCCGACGCCCACCCACTCATGCATGGGAGCGAGGGGCATCTTTACAACAGTGGGAGTGCCATGCAGGCGCGCCAGGCAGACCTTGCCGAAACCGCCCTGGCCAAGAATCCTGTCCTGATCGATCGCAACGCCTGCGTCGAGGACCCAGCGCTCCTTCTGACCCAGAGCTACAATGCAATCGACCTTCTGCTTGAGTTCTCCGCTCAGCCCAAGGTTTGCGAAAACGATGTGGCTAGGCGTCTCTGATGGAGCGTGCACCTTCAGTTGCGAAGACAATTTGAACTCCGTGGACACGCGGAGAGATTTCTCTGAGAGATACTTCTTGAAGAGATAGCGCTCTGCGCACTCAGTGTAGCGCTTCCCCATGGCAAACAGTACAACTATGAAAAATTGGGTGACCTGCCCGTACCACGAATAGTGGTCCCCCATTGTTAACGAGCCATCATTCCATGATGATGTGAGAAGTACCCAGAAAGGATACCAGAAAATAGATACAAGCTCCAGTGGAACTAGCAAGTACCACCGCACTGGCACCATCAAGTGGGTTGCTGTCAGCACGAACATAGTCATCAACAGTTGGTGCTGTTTGTCCGCTGCCATTATCACTTCAGCGTCCTCTAGGGTATTCCCAAGGAGCTGGGAAAGACAGAAGTGTCCTGTGCTTACCGCGGATACGATTGCTGCACATCCCACAAACACCAAGAACGCTTCCCGAGCGAAGCTGCCCATCAAGTGCGTGAACCGCGGCACCAAATGCACGACAAGGTAGCAGAGGCCCAGAAGGAGAAGCACCGCGAGACAGGCGATCTTAACCAACACGAGCCACCTAGGATCAGCCGCCAGGCGAGAAGGTGGTAAACAGCACGTCCCAGGAAAGACGATACGGGCGACGCCCGCTAACAGCCAAACGACGACAACAATCTCGAAGCATATGCCAAGGAAGCCGTTCCGTCGCAAACGTGGTGCACAATACTTGACGTAGCCTAGCTCGTCATGCCGATTTCTAAACTTCATCGTGTACCACGACAGGGAGATCTCAGAGCCGAGCCACTCGCCGTCGCACCTGCATCTCTCCATCATCGTGCCCGGCCAGAGCACAGCTTGGAGAAGCCTGTGTACTGCAAATCCGAGCGCCGCTCAAACCACCATGGCTCGAGCAGCCACGACTCGAGCCACAACGGATACGGACGGAACCCACACGGGCGGCCAGGTGGCCACGGGCGTGGGCAAAATTACCCTGCGACGTACCCAACCCTGTTCTATACATGTGGTGGTTACATTCGGGACCACTCAATGTTGACGGGCCTGCTGAAAAACCCGCAGTGCGGAAGAAGAGCACCCATCAGTGAACTCAGAAGAGCGCAGCAAGAAGAGCAGCGGCAACGCGTAAGACGTACCTCTGCTGGGTCTCCCAGGAGCCCACGAAAGTGGCGACAATTGCGCAGATCGCAGCCCCCGAGGGCACCACGAGGTCTCGAGGTGATCCGCGTGGGACGTACCTCCGCTGTGCCTCCCAAGAGCCAACGAAAATGGCGACATTTGCGCAGATCGCAGCCCCCCAGGGCGCCGCGAAGGCTCCAGGTGGTCCGCGTGGGACGTACTTCTGCTGGACCTCCCAGGAGCCCACGAAAGCGACGACAAATGCGCAGATCGCAGCCCCCCAGGGCACCGCGAGGTCTCGAGGTGGTCCGCGTGGGACGTACATCCGCTGGGCCTCCCATGAGCCCAAGAAAGTGGCGACAGTTGCACAGATCGCAGCCCCCCAGGGCGCCGCGAGGTCTCGAAGTGGTCCTCGTGGGACGTACTTCCGCTGGGCCTCCCAGGAGCCCACGAAAGTGGCGACAATTGCGCAGATCGCAGCCCCCCAGGGCGCCGCGAGGTCTCGAGGTGGTCCGCGTGGGACCCACCTCCGCTGGCCTCCCAGGAGCCCACGAAAGTGGCGACAATTGCGCAGATCGCAGCCCCCCCCCAGGGCGCCGGGAGGTCTCCGGTGGTCCGCGTGGGACGTACCTCCGGTGGGCCCCCCAGGAGCCCACGAACGTGGCGACAGTTGCGCAGATCGCAGCCCCGAGGGCACCGCGAGGTCTCGAGGTGGTCCGCGTGGGACCCACCTCCGCTGGGCCTCCCAGGAGCCCACGAAAGTGGCGACAATTGCGCAGATCGCAGCCCCCCAGGGCGCCGCGAGGTCTCGAGGTGATCCGCGTGGGACCCACCTCCGCTGGGCCTCCCAGGAGCCCACGAAAGTGGCGACAATTGCGCAGATCGCAGCCCCCAGGGCGCCGCGAGGTCTCTAGGTGGTCCGCGTGGGACCCACCTCCGCTGGGCCTCCCAGGAGCCCACGAAAGTGGCGACACTTGCGCAGATCGCAGCCCCCAGGGCACCGCGAGGTCTCGAGGTGGTCCGCGGGGGACCCACCACCGCTGGGCCTCCCAGGAGCCCACGAAAGTGGCAACAATTGCACAGATCGCAGCCCTCAGGGCACCGCGAGATCTCGAGGTGGTCCGCGTGGGACCCACCTCCGCTGGGCCCCCCAGGAGCTAACGAAAGTGGCGACATTTGCGCAGATCGAAGCCCCCGGGGCACCGCGAGGTCTCGAGGTGGTCCGCGTGGGATCCACCTCCGCTGGGCCTCCCAGGAGCCCACGAAAGTGGCGACAATTGCGCAGATCGCAGCCCCGAAGGCACGAGAGAAGAGGAGAGGGAAACACAGGAAACAGGAGAGGAGGAGGGGAGGAGGGGGGAGGAGGAGAAGGACGGGGCGACCACACTACTCTATTCAAAACGATGACCCAACCATAGGAGGGTTGGGAAATAAGAGGCGCGCGCGCGGCTGTTGGTGCGCGTGCCACAGGGGCCTGCGCCTTCCTCCTCCCCGTCCTGCGTGACTGCCAATCCTCCGCATCCTCTTGGAGGCCTGGAAATTGGCGCCAACACAGGGGGCTGCCTCCACAGGAGGAAGATGATCCTAGATGTCGGTGCTGGTGGTCATATTTCGGCCACCTTGGAAGCCAGAATATTGCCACCATCCCCGAGACTGGGATATTCTTCCCTCGGTGGAGGCACGCCGCCGATATTATCGATGTCAACCTCGAGGCCTGCGATCTTCACCATCGAACTCGTGCCCTTTCTCCTCCTCACCCCCCCCCAGAGGCCCAACGAGGCCCAAGCGCACCCGAACACCTTGATACCCCTCGTCTTCCCGCTCCGAGTCGTCCCCTTCCTCAAGCTCCTCCAGGGGGCCACATGCGAACCCTACCCCTACCCCCCAAGATTTCTGAGGGGGAGGGTGGGGTTCACTTCGCTCGGGAGCTCCCAAATGAAGTGAACCCCACCCTCCCCCCCAGAAATCGTGGGGGGTAGGGGTCGGGTTCGCATGTGGCCCCCGATCCTCTGGGGGGGAAGGTACCAATGTCGCTACTTCCTGGACCCCTCCACGGGTGCGTTCGGACCAGAACTTCGAGGCGAGTCCAGCCGTGGAGGCGAGAGGTGAGTAGCGGAATCGTGCTTCTCCTTTTCGGGATCCTCCTCCTCATCCTCTTCCTCGCCCGTTCCATCCTGAGGCCGTTTCGGGGCGCAGGGGCCCGTGGCCCTTGCAGACGCCAACTCCCCCAGAACTCCGAATCCACATCCGTACACAAAGTGGACCGCGGAAGGTCTGGACCACACACCCCGGACCCGCATTCCACATCCACTCGTGTCCTGGCGGCCCCGATGCCCGAGGAGGGGCACCCGAAACCGAGAACGCTGACAAAACCCTGCGCGCTTGTGTTGTTGTTGTTGATGTTGAACATTATTAATTCTAAAGAATAATTATTGTTGGGACCCCTGGTGCACGGCCCCCCTGCGCCGCCTAGGCCGCAGCTACATTTTCATCATTTTCGTGAGGAAGCCTCAGGTAATTCGATGTGATCAAGATCCGGTTGTTTTGTTCCCCCCCGCTTTCCCTTGCAAAAAACACTATAAAATGACATTTCTTGTTCTAATATAATCAAATTTCAAGAATCCCTTGCAAAAAATAAGGTAAAGTGGACATTCGCGCGCGCAAGACGAAATCCTTCCAAAAGCTTAGTGTTCGGAGCGATTTTAACATAAAAACATCAAAAAACCAATGGTTTTTCAACAAAAAAATGTCAAAATCTCATCCCGCGCGCTCTTGCGGATTCGTAGGAAACCCAACACTTTTTAAACATTTCTGTCAAACGGGCTTTTGCGAGCAACTTTTTCGAACTTCTGCGACAACGGTTGCGCACCTGCCAGGGCCATCATCCCTGTCAAATAATACCATGCGGGACACATTCGTTTTTTCTTCGCGCGCGCACGCCGAAATCTCCAAAAACCATTGGGTTTTTAAGAATTTTAGCACCGCGCATCATAAAATCACACGAATCGCACCGTAGGTCCTCGAAAAACACCTGCACGACTTTTCAAAATTTCCACCCGCGCGCGCTGTCCGAATCCTAAAAAAACCAATGGTTTTCCAACATTTATGTTACATGAGCTCGCGCGAGCTACTTTCGCACGCTCTTGCAACGGGGTTCGCGCGCCTGCCAGGGGCCAGAATCCCTTGCGGTTGCGCCATATGTTGCGCCCTCGGCCGCCCTCGGGACAACGATCGGGACAACCACAACCATCAGGACAACCATCGGGACAACCATCGAGACAACCATCGGGACAACCATATCCTCTCTCTCTTGTGTATTTCCACATCCCTCAGGAATTTGCCCTAAAGATGTGATCAACTATCTTGTGAGTACGTATCGTGTGTATCATGTGTATCATGTACCATATGCATCATATGCAACAGATGTTCTGTGGAAGGCTTAACAACTTCTGTGGGTTAACAAGGCTTAACAACTTCTGTGGGTGTACGAACGTAGGCTTAACAACTTCTGTGGGTGTGTACTCCACGCCAGTGTAGTAGCCACGGTCGTCCGCAGGCCACGAAGTGAAGTGTCCGAACGTCATAGGGCGGGAAGCTGGGTGTGGGTGGTGGCGAAGAGTCGTGTGGATATTTGGTAGAGCTTGCACTGCCCCCCCACAAAGTGGGGGTATTGGCTGGCGTCGCATGAAAACCCTGGCACTGGTGAGAACACTGAGCGTTCGGGTAAAGTGATTGATGTTGTTGATGTTGCTGTTGTTGCCGTTATTGTTGTTGTTGCTGCTGTCGTTGTTGCTGTTGATGTTGTTGTCGTTATTGTTGTTGTTGCTGTTGTTGTTGGTGGTGGTGATGGTGTTGAGGTTGTTGTTGTTGTTGTTGCTGCTGTTGTTGTTGTTGTTGTTGTTGTTGTTGCTGCTGCTGCTGTCGTTGTCGTTGTCGTTGTCGTTGTCGTTGTCGTTGTCGTTGTCGTTGTTGTTGTTGTGGTTGTTGTTGTTGCTGTTGTTGTTGTGGCTGTTGTGCACGACGCGAGGAGGCGCGGGTCGGTCGGTCGGTCGGTCGGTCGGGCGCTCGCGGGCCTCTGGGCCTCGACGTTTGTGACTCGTCCCCGATTGGAGGCGGCTTGGGGGGCCTGCGCTGGACGGGCCCCGAGGAGGCGCGGCGAGGAGCGGGGGAGACTGGCGCCCAGTCCTCTCGAGGGGGAGAAAAGAGCGCGGGGAGGAGCGGGGGAGACTGACGCCCAGTCCTCTCGAGGGGGAGAATCCTTCTCCCCCTCGAGAGGATTGGTCCTCAGAGTGAGGGGGAGAAACATTCTCCCCCTCATTCTGAATGACGCGGTGAGGAGCGGGGGAGACTGACGCCCAATCCTCTCGAGACCAGTCCCCCGACCCCTCGCGGGATCCAACCTCACAAGCTTGAGCCGCGTCCGGCCGTGGCGACGAGAAGCCCCCAGGGAGGTCAGAACAGGACGAGAAAGGTCGTCAAGGGATTCACGACTTCTGCTGTCCCTCGGCTCGCGCTGGAGCGTCCACGATTTGTTCCAAGTCTCCCTGGAAATCTCTGGATGTACCTCAACTTATCTGGATGTACGTGGCTTGATCCCCGCAGGTCGATCGAGGACAAGTCGCCAAGCTCCTCGAGAAAAGGCTCCCTTCGCCCCCTCTTTGCTTGCCCCCCTCAGCCGCCAGGCGATTCCGAGCCCCCAA